CGACACCGTCGAGCGCGAGAAGGCGAGGCTGGTCGTGAAGGGCTTCACGCAGGTGTATGGCACCGACTACGACGAGACGTACGCGCCGGTGAGCAGCTACGTCACGCTGAGGATCTTCCTCAGCATCGTCGCCGTCCTCGACCTGAACCTGATGCAGCTCGACATGAAGAACGCCTTCCTGCAGAGCAAGCTCGACCGGGTGCTCTACATGTACCAGCCGGACTACTTCAACGACGGGACCGGCCGGGTGTGTAAGCTGCTGAAGAGCCTCTACGGGCTGAAGCAGTCACCGCTGTTGTGGTACTTGGCGCTCAACGACGTGCTGGTCGGCGCTGGCTGGAAGAAGAGCCAGGTCGACGAGGCCCTCTACTTCAAGGTCGGCAAGGACGAGGTGACCTGCTGGGTGCTGGTCTACGTCGACGACCTGCTCGCCGCAAGCAGCAGCACCGCGATGCTGAGGGAGCTGAAGGAGCTGCTGGAGGCCGCCTTCGAGCTGCGCGAGATCTCGCCGGTGCAGAAGTACCTCAGGCTGGAGATCGTGCGCGACAGGTCGGCGGGGAAGCTGTGGCTGCATCAGCAGGGCTACGCCGACAAGCTGCGTAGGCGCTTCATCGACGAGGAGCAGGGCGGACGGACTCCGAAGACGCCGATCTCGGTCGACGCCTACGCCGAGCTCACCTTCGACGACGAGGAGGCGCAGGAGCGACAGGAGGAGGAGTACCGGCAGAAGGTCGGCTCGCTGCAGTTCGCAGCGACGACGACGAGGAGCAGGGCGGTCGGACTCCGAAGACGCCGGTCTTGGTCGACGCCTACGCCGAGCTCACCTTCGACGACGAGGAGGCGCAGGAGCGACAGGAGGAGGAGTATCGGCAGAAGGTCGGCTCGCTGCAGTTCGCGGCGACGACGACGAGGCCGGACATCGCCTTCGCCTACAGCAAGCTGGGGAGCGGCCTCACGGTGAGGAGCGACCAGCACTGGCGCGAGGTCGACCGCTGCCTCGCCTACCTCGCCAACACGCGTGACACCGCCTTGGAGTTTGGCGGTGGACCTGAGTCGCTGGAGCTGGTCGGCTACGTGGACGCCGACGACGCCGGTGACAAGCAGAACAGGACGAGCACGGGTGGCTACGTGTTCGTCTACGGAGGGGCCGCAGTCTCCTGGTCGAGCCAGCGCATCAAGTGCGCGACGCTATCGTCGACCGAGTCGGAGTACGTGGCGGCCGTTGAAGCCGGCAAGGAGGGACGCCGACTTCGCTTCCTCCTCGCAGAGTTCCAGCAGCTGGATGCTGGGAAGCCGACGGTCCTGAGTATGAGCTATGCTGCTTGACAGCCATGGTTTCCTTAGTTTTCTTCCAGAATCCCACTCACACAAGTCCGCTCACATCAGGAGCATCAGTGCCCAGCCACATGGCTTTTATCACTCACAGCGATGTTATCATGCCCTTGGCATCGCAAGTTACGTTCCTTGCCTTGCTGTAGTCCCCACCAACCACCCAGCCGTCAAACGTTTTGTTCCACGCCTCCTGACAGTCCAGCAGCACTTGCGCTGGCGGGAGGGGAAAGAGCGAGATGAGAGAAGGCCAAGGAGCGAGAGAAAGATACCAAGTGCAATCCTGGGGCGGTCTACGTGAACAACCCACCAGTGGGCGCCCCAGAAAAAGCCATGTCCCTTGAGGAATGCTTCACCATTCTAGAGGCCGCCTTGGAGCTCCCCTGCAAAACACTGGCGCAAGCAGGCGTTTTTACAAGCGGTAATGTCATGGTTGTTTAAGGATGTGCCTGCATGTCTGTAAGCTTCTCCGTACTGATGTAAAGAACCATCTGACAGAAAGAATGAGAGAAAGAGGCGTGGAGGTGAGGAGGTAAGGGGGACTAAATGGATGGTTCCCCTTGGCTTATCACACGCCCGCCCTCCCTGTGCTGCTAGTTCCTGGAGAGCCCACTCACTGCTGACGTCATTGCTGACGTTATTGTTGACGTTATTGTTCACATGTTGCTGCTTGGAGCGCGCTGGAGGAAACACGAGAAGAGGCAGGGATCAGCGAGGGAAACATGAGGAGCGGTAGGGAGCAGCTAGGAGTCTAGCAGAGGCCCTCCCACCTCCTCTACCACCTCCTCTCCCACCTCCTCCACCTCCTCTCCCACCTCCTCCACCTCCTTTCCCACCTCTTCCACCTCCTCTCCCACCTCCTCTACCACCTCCTCTACCACCTCCTCTACCACCTCCTCTACCACCTGCTCATCTCCGCTCCCCACTGACTCTCACATCGTGCACTCCAATCTTCCACTCTCCCGCCCGGCTCGTCCCGGGGCGCACATCCTACCACACGGTTACATCCCAAAGAACGTGCCTCTTCGGCTATAAGTGCAGCGCCAAAAGCTGTACCGAGGAATTCAATACCGAGGAATTCCTCTTCCCGTCTTCCTAACTACCGCGTACACCTTTCAGCATCCGAGCTCTTCAGCGGAAAGAAGCGCGACGGGGGGAGAGTGAAACAAGCGATGAGAAGCGGCACGTTACGGGTAAGCATCTGATGCTTGAGCAGAGCACACACCCGAGTCGGCCAAGTGGACCGTGCGACCTCGAGACACGTCACCAGGAGCACGCGCCGAGGGAGGCACGCTACTACTGGGTAAGAAGGTGCTTATCGAGGAGAGCACGCACCCTGGGAGTCGGCCAAGGGAACGCAGTCGACTCGGGCGACCCCGAGACACGTCACCAGGAGCAACGCGCCGAGGTGTATTACTGCGGCGCGGCGCTCCATCGCGCCGTTACGAGCGCGGTAAGCCCGCGACGGTCGCATGGAAAATCCTGGACACGGGCCCCTCAGTGCCGGATTGGCGGCATAGTAGTTTAGGGTTGGTTTCTGCCGTTCTTGCTGCCGTACATGGTGGAGGGGGGGAAGGGAACAGAGTGATTTTTGTGGTGACTGCCAGCAATTGCTTGCAGCTAGCCGTTGTTGTCCCCCCCCCGTAGGGCCATCAGTTCGCCGTCCGGAAGCTGCTTCGCAGCTCGCTGGGAAATGTTACGAGTTTCAAACGTACATTTCGAAATCAGCACTGAATATGATGCTAATTCATTTCCCACTAACAATGGAAATAAGTAGCACTACTCAAATTTCTTCACCCAATTTTTTTAAGTTTGATGAGCATTAACGAACATAATGACCACTTCGTGCCCTGGATATAAGCCTAATAAGTGTTCATGAACGGCATCAATGACAAAGATTTCATGTTGACGTATTTTCAGCACGCATTCTTGTTTCGCCTTGGTCGTCACTAATCATTTATGTAGCAAGAATTTCGACGTATTCATGATCTGGCTCAACAACCAGCAGATCCAATCAAAATGTACTCTCAAGATCTGGCAGACAATGCTAAGATGATTCTTTCAATAGAGGGAATTGATATAAGCCAGGACATCAAGACTTTACTGTATAAATTTTGTACCCGAAAGCTACTGTTCACATGCTATATTTGCGCGTTTATAGGAGAAGCTCGTGCTCTTATCGCGTATCACATTATCGACCACTGTTCGCCCACCGTCAAGGGATCGCTCCCGCAAATACCTACCGTGTTGTGACGCGTGTTTGGTTGAGTTGAGAAGTGTTTACGGCATTCTCCTCACTGCCTCTGCATCTACGTGCCCTTCGTCCTAGATTCTTGTAGGGCCATTTTCAGGTGCAATCTCTACAGTACAGGAAATTTATTCAGGTGCGATCCCGGCGCATATTTCCAAGTCTCTGCTGTGCACTGTACACACGTGCCAGAATACAGCCTTGGAAAGATGCGCCACTCAAATTTGTACTTGCTGAGGGAAGTTAATGCGAAATAAATTCGCTCACACACGCTTCGTTTACCGAACCTACCAGGAAGTGCTAAGACATGCCCCGAAAAAAACAAAACTAAAAGCTTTAGTGACCCTGAACGGCATTTTGGGATGTCAACCCTAAACACGGGGACCTCCTGGTGTTTAGGGTTGATGCCTCAGTAAGGTTTTCGTGACAAAAAAAAATAAAACCCAATCGGAACGGACGAATCGGGAGGCATCAACCCTAAACACCAGATGGGTTCCCGTGTTTAGGGTTGATCCCTCCCGAAACTGCTTCCAGGCCCTCTAGGGGTTATATTTTGTTTTTTCAGGGTAGCATTAACAGCTTCGGGTAGTTTTGTCTGGCCATGTTGTATGTTTGACTTCCGTCAGAATGTGTCAGAGACAAAATATATTCCGTCAGCTGAACAAGATGTGAGTGGCGAGTCTGCATATTGCACTGTTGCAGCACGTGTGTACAGTAACGTAACAGTTCCGTAACATATTTGGATCACACCTGAATACATTTCCTGTACTGTAGAGATCGCACCTGAAAATGGCCCATTCTTGTACACAGCACTCCAGCCAGCACACCAGCCAGCACACGGCACACCGGCTCGGAGTCCGTTCTGGCATCACTTAGAGAAGGTTTCGTCGGAATAGCAGTCACCCAAACTCGCATTCCGACATCGCGGAAGCGAGAAGGCGATATCTTGCGAAAACATCACTAGAAAGTGACATTCCCGCACGCCGGTGCCACGAGTGTCGCGTCGGGACCCGCCGGTGTTACACGCAGCGACAGATCTCGAAATGCTGCCCTGCTCGAGTCGCGGCTAGTAGTACATGGTACCCGACCCGCGCGTCTCCGATTCCGCCTCGCACTAGAAGTAGCAGTAGTAGAAAACGCGACTCCGAGTCGTCGCGCCACGCCGATCGTGATGCCTACTAGTAGTAGTGGCACCGCCGACTTCTCTGGCGGATTCGCGTAACCTCTCCGCCTGCTGCTGCGTGTCCGTCAGCCGAGCTTGTTTAGATTCTTCATCCGTTTCGTCTGGGGATCGCTAACCACCCGCCCCGTGCCACGTCGCGATCTTCGCCACGGGAGGAAATCCGTTCCGGGATTTCGCTAGGAACTCCCTTTCGCACGCCACCCTTCGCGGCGCTGCCGAGATTCGCATCATCCAACCGTCATGGGTGCAGGCGACGACGATCATGATCGCAAGGACGCCGCCGCCATGCTCGCGTCGCACAGCGCGTGGCGACAAATGCTGGCAACAGCGGCGAGGCCGGCGGCGGCGCATCATCTCGAGGTTCCGCGGCGCCACGTCATCATCAAATCATGGATTGGCTCTCCACACAGCAGCGGCGGCGGCGGCATCGTTAGCGGCGGCGGCGGCGGCGGCGGCGGCAGCGGCGCATGGCGATGGCAAGCGACGGAGAAGCAGTCCGCGTCGCTCGCGCTCCTCGCCCTGCCCTTCCTGCTCCTCCTCCTCGTGATCTGCTCGCTCTTCCTCGTCTCCCTCAACCAAGCGGGCTCCTTCGGATGGGAAACCTATACCGATCCCACCAGCTTTCCTCCAACCCGCCCCAACAGCCAAAGCACGGACTACCGAGTTACCAGCAATGCGGACACCAGCAGTTATACCACCGGCAATGGTGACAACACCAACACCGGAGACCTAAATCCTAGAAGCAGTGCTTACAGCAGCAGCGGCAGCAGGGGCGGTGGCAGTGGTGGCGGTGGTGGCAGCGGTGGCGGTGGGAATCGCAGGTCACCGTTCCTCGCCCATCTGCACCACGCCGCCACGCTCCGCTGGCGGCCGGCAAGGGACGTCAGTGGCAGAGGCGGCGACGATGACAACAGCTTGAGTCGCAGTGGCAGTGGCAACGGCAGTCCGAGTGACAGCCCAAGTGGCGGCAGTGGGTGGGAGACAGCAGGGGTTGCACCTGACAGGGACAGTGGTGACGGCGTTAATGTCGCTGCTGCTGCTGAGGGGGCTGGTTTCAGTGAGAATGTAGGTGTCGGTGGTGCCGATGCCGCCAGTGGTGGTGCTGGTGGTGGTGCCGGTGGTGGTGCTGGTGGTGCTGGTGGTGGTGCCGGCACTGCTGTTCTTCCTGCCGCTGCTGCCCTCCAAGCACTCGCCCTCGCGTCGCTGCCGTCCCCCTCAGTTGTGCCGTCACTTGCAGCACCACTGGTGTCAGCAGCGTCGGAAGCGCTGATGCCAGTAGCATCGCTGACAGCAGTACCGGCAGAACCAATGGCATCATCAGAATCTCCACCCTCACAATCCCCACCTTCCCAGTCCCCGCCGTCTTTGCCGCCGCCTTCCCTTTCACCAGCATCACTACCAGCCCCCGCAGCAGCATTGCCAGCAGATGCAGCAGCAGCCACATTTTCAGAAGTGCTACCAACAGCAGCAGCAGTATCAGCATCAGCATCAGTATCACATTCACAAAGCGCAGCCCCCTCATCACCCTCATCCCCCTCATCCCCCTCATCACCCTCATCCCCTGCGGGGGCGCTCTACGTCCCCATGACTGCCATAAGCGGGTGGACGGACCCTTTACCTCACCCCGTCAACGCCTTGGCCAATGCCAGCCTGGACGCTGACGTCATTGCCGACGTGGCGAAGAACGGGGGCATTCCCAGCGAGCCTCTGCTGGGTGCCTCGTGGAGCCCCGACGGCAGAAAGTACCTTCTGGCGCTCTGCTCTACCGGCGGGGTGAGTGGCGCTCGATGCGTTTGTAATGTCAAAGGTGATAATGCACACTCGGGATGCGCATCCCCCTCATCAAGGGAAAGAGATAGATGCACACTCGGGCAGGAAAAAACCTGACGCTCTGCTCCACTGGCGGGGTGAGTGGCGCCCCCAGCCCTGCTTGCTCTGCTCTGCTTTGCATGTGTGCTGAGGTGTAATGCTATAAAGTATACTATTATGAGCTTGATATAATCAAACGCGCGAAAAGAAGAGGAAGGCAAGAGCACTCGATGCACCTGCATGGGTCCCTCCCTCTGGCGCTTGTTCCCTTCCCTCGCTCCTCTGTGTGTTGGAAACAAGCGCCACTCTGCCACAACCAATGCTCTTGTTCACCTGCTCCCTTGCTTTACAATTGTCCCTATTTGTGCCTCTCCTTGCGTCCGTGCCTGTGTGCCTGTCACCCCACCCAGATGTCCAACCATCTCTTCTGCCTGCGTGAGTTTGCGCTGATGGCAGGCGCTCTCAACCGAACGCTCGTCGTGCCCATGGGGCCACATGAGGTACGCCGACCTGCCCCGCCCTGCCATGCCCCGCCCTGCCATGCCCCGCCCTGCCATGCCCCGCCCTGCCATGCCCCGCCCTTGCCTTGCCTTTCCGTTTCAAAAGTCGTTTCGCTTGTGGTGCCCATGGGGCCACACGAGGTACGCTGACTTGCCCTGCCCTGCCTCCCCTGCCGTGCCCTGCCATGCTTTGCCATGCCTTCCAGCCACTGTCCGTGGCATGTGATGACATGGAGTATGTATGCTTGTGGCATATGCTGCCGATTTTTTAGGCGCCTACAAGATTGCCTTTGCCTTGTTGCTGGTTCAGGTGCAAACCTACATATTCGTTCTTGCCTTCTCTTACAATCTCTCTTTGTGCTGCACCAATCTGCACCTATCTGCACCTCCGCCTCCTCCTCCTTCTCGCTTCCACCTTCTGTCTGCCGCCCACTCCTTGCCCCCGACGCACACCAGCTGACCCTCCCGCTCTCCCTCGTCTTCGACGTGCCCTTCCTGCGCGCCTGCTATGGTCCCAAGACAGCCCTCACCCTCGACGAGTACAAGCAGTTTGTGAGTCGCCCACCCATGATGTTGCTGCTGTGTCCCATGCCATGTCATGCCATCTGTATGTATGCCATCCGTGCGGCTCTTGTCATGTCCTGCTACGGGCCCAAGATCGCCCTCACCCTTGTCGAGTACAAGCAGTTTGTGAGTCACCCGTGCTGCCGCTGTAATGCCCCATGCCCCGTGTGCCCCATGCCCCATGTGTGTGCCATACCCTATTACGCTAATGCCTGTGCCTCGTCAGTGTGATGTGATGTGATGTGATGTATTGCGATGGCATGCGCTCCCATGTCATTCGATGACATCTGATAAGTATGTAATGTAATGTGTGAGGTGTTGCGATGTTATGCAACTTAATGTAATATAGTGTCATGGCATGGCATCTCATGTCCTGGTCATGCCACTTCATGAGGCGCATAGTTGTGTGCCACTATGCTTGGGTAACACCGTATCTCACTCTTTTCTCCTACCCCTGGCTGCCGTGTCGTGTCCCTACCCCCTATCTGCCCCTGCCCTGCCCCCATCTGCCAATGCCCCCATTTTCCCCTTCCCCCACACCCCACCCGCGTTCCGCCCCCCTGCTGCAGGTGGGCAGGGGCAGCATGGAGGTGACTCACGTGCTGTGCCTTGTCAAGGGCTGCCACCTCGTGCCCCTCTCCACCTGCCCCTGGCTCAACCATCTGTCCCTGCCCCCAACCTCCCCCCTGCTCCGCCCCTGCTGCAGGTGGGCAGGGGCAGCATGGAGGTGACTCACGTGCTGTGCCTTGTCAAGGGCTGCCACCTCGTGCCTGACGCTGGTGAGTGGGGCGCACCGGGGGGGAATGGCAGCAGGTGGGGGAACAGGGCTGCAGGCGGGGAGAGGGCTGGCCGGAGTGTGACAGGGCTGCACGGGGGGACAGGGCTGCACCAGTAGAGTGATTAGCATCTTCTCCCCTTCCCTCTCCCTCCCGCCTGCGCCGCCACCCATTTGCATCAGCATCGCTGGCGTTCTGACTGATACGTCTCAGTACCCGCTATGTTGAGTTTACTTTTGAGACGTCTCAGAACCCTCTTCCCCGCCCACCTCTGCACACCCCCCTTAAACAGCACCACCAGGCTGGCGGTTTGTGACGAGCAAGGGGCGCGTCAGCCTGGCTGGCGAATGTTTCTGAGCCACCTCAGAAGCCACCAATGCGTGGACCACAAACCCCCATTCTCAAGAGATTCAAAAGGTTTTGAGACAACAAACAAACCCCTCTCACCCACCTCTTCCCCGCCCCCATTCCTCCCTCTTCTATCACACTTCCTCTCCCCTCCTCTTCCCCTTGCCCTCCTCCTCCTCCTCCCCCCCTCTCTCCCCCTCCCCGCCCTCTCATGCACCACCCCCGGGGCAGGAGCACCAGTGGGGAAGTTTGTGGCAAGCAATGACCGCAACAGCCCTCCCCTCCCCGCCCCCCTTCTCCTCCCCTCCCTCTCCCTCCTCTCCACCCCACACCTGGTCAGCAGCAAGGGGTGGCGAGCAAGGGGCGCATCTGATCAGGCTGGCGAATGTTTTCGAATCCCCTTAAAAAATGACCCATGTGGACCAGAAAAGTCTTGAGATGGCGAAACCCTCCCTTTCCCCTCCCCGCTCCCCTTCTCCTCCCCCCACCCCCCCTCCCCTCCCCGCTCCCCTTCTCCTCCCCCCACCCCCCCTCCCCTCCCCGCTCCCCTTCTCCTCCCCCCACCCCCCCTCCCCTCCCCGCTCCCCTTCCCGTCCCCTCCCCTTCCTTCCTCTCCAACCCACCCCTCGGCAGCAGCACCAGGAGGGCAATTAAAGGCGAGCAAGGGGCGCATCAGCCTGGCGAACGTTTTCGACTCACCTACGAAGTCTCCCCGCTGCCCTCTTGCTCTCCTGCAGCGCCAGCAGGGCAGTTCAGGCCGATCAAGGGGCGCACAAGCTGGCGAATGTTTTTGAGTCAAACATTCCTCAACACGTGCCCTCCCCACTGCCCCTCTCCTCTCCAGCAGCACCAGGAGGGCAGTTCAGGGCGAGCAAGGGGCGCATCAGGCTGACAAACGTGACGGTGCCGGCAGTGGAGCAGTGGGCGTGGTCGGGCCTGCCAGACAAACACTCGCTGCAAGGTGGGCAATGTTGGGCTGGGCTGCAGTGCTGTATGGTGTGGTGTTGTGTGGTGGTGTATGAATGGATCAGAGGTAGCATGCTAGCAAAGAGGCCTTTGTGATGTGTCGCTCTCATGTGGGCACGGGGCACCGCTCTCATGTGAGCAAAGAACTCAGCTCTTGGACCTCGTCACGTGCTTCCCTCTGCCTTTTCAACATGCATTACCATGCCATGCCATGCCATGGCATCCCATTTCAACGGCAACCCTCTCAACTACACACCTCTCGACCACACCTTTCTCAACCGCACCCATCTCAACTGCTCCTGGCAGCGTTCCTCAAGGTGTACAGCCAAGTGCCGGACGGTGTGCTGGTGATCGGCGAGTTCAAGAAGGTGCGTCTCTCTGTCTCAACCTCTCTCCTCTCAACCACACCCAACCGCTCTGGCAGCCTTCCTCAGCGTGTACAGCTGAGTGCCAGATGGTGTGCTGGTGATCGGCGACTTCAAAAAGGTGCATCCCTCTGTCTCCCTGTGACCACTGTGCCTCATGATGCCACCCACCTGATGATGCCATTTGATATGTCACCTGATATGTCACCTGATATGCCACCTGATATGCCACCTGATATGCCACCTGATATGCCACCTGATGCCAGTACACAGTATCTCCTATTCTGACCCCTCTACCATGGTGTCAACCTTTGTATACGTACCTTACGTTCACATCTCATCGCGTACAGTACACACAACATCTCTTTAGAGCTCAAGACTCACCACACGTGTATCGACTTTTGAGGCGCCTCAAAAGTCGTCCCTCTATCCGCAATAACATCCCATACATCTCGTACGTCACAATTTCTTCAAAACTCAGAACCTTTTACTCCTATCCCATCGCCATATTCCTGCTCTTCCCTCCTCTTCACCCCCCATCAACCCATCGTTGACCGAATCTGCTTCCACATGCTCTCCCTCATGAACCTCCCATCCCTGCTGCCTGCCTCGGTCCTTTCACCCTTTTTAAAGCCTCACCTCGTGCCTTTTCCCCTCAGACAATGCCGTCTTCCCCTCCCCCTATCCCCGCCCACTTCTCTTCCCACACCAGCAACCCATCAAGGATTCTATGTTCTCCCACATGCTCGCCCCCCTGGACCTCCCGTTCCTGCTGCCTCGGTCTCCCCCCCCCTTCAAGCTATGTTGGATTATACGCTCGAGGCCCTTCGCGTTTAGCGTATATACGCTAGCGTATACACGCAATACGCTAAACGCTAGCGAATACGCAATACGCTGCCATAAAATTTTCCGGGCAGCCCGGAAAAATAAAATCGCAGAAAAGATGCGGATTTTCTTGGTGAGCATTTCGCCGAAGTCGAAATGCAAATCCGCGGTCTAGGCAAGCTGGGATCTGACTTTGAAGTTTTCAGGCACATCTAGCTATTCAAATGTCGAATTTCAGATCCCATCTAGGCATTTGAACCCATCCCCTCTACCGCATTGAAAACCATCTTATCTACGAAATCCAACCTATCAAAATCGAACCCCCAACAAATCTCACGCTACTGACCAGCCAACCCAACTCCTAACCCGTCATTTCCTACCTTGCATTCTCGCTTCCAGCAGTGTCACCGCGCACTCCAACTTGAAAAGCCTCTCCAACACTACTTTCTCTAGCTATGATGACTACTCCCCGCCCCACCCCACTCGCCGATCGGACTCAGGAAAATGCTACGGCACGTCCTAGTGAGATGAGATAGGGGGTATTTTTTTCCACCCTGCCCGAATTTTTTTTCCCTGCCCGAAAAAGCGTATGCCTGATCCGACCCTCAAGCGTATTGCGTATACACGCCAGCGTATATACGATACGCATATATACGCTAAACGCGTATAATCCATCATAGCCTTCAAGTCCTTCCCCATGCCTATTTCTCTTGAACCCATCCATTCCTTCCCCCTTTTGCTCCCCCTCCCCCACCCCACCAGCAACCCATCACGGATTCTATCTTCTTCCACATGCTCTTCCCCATGGACCTCCCGTTCCTGCTGCCTTGGTCCCTTCACCTTTTTCAATTCCTTCCACCATGCCCGCTTCCCTTACCCCATTTTCCAACCCGCCCTCTTCCCTCCTCTCCCCCACCCCACCAGCAACCCATCACGGATTCTATATTCTTCCGCATGCTCTCCCCAATGGACCTCCCGTTCCTGCTGCCCCCGTCACCGGGCAAGCAAAAGGGGAAACCTAAGCCTGCGAAGGTGGTGCCACGAGAAACATGCCTCGCATCTCCTGCCATCCGGGTGAGAGAAACCTTGCTATTCATTAAATCGAATCAACACCTGAATCATCCCAGCAAAGGCAGCTGTCACATCGTTACCTCTCTTCAGAACTTCTCACCTTCCCTCTTCCTGATTTTATTCACAACCACCCGAAATCTCTCCACCCGCTCCTCTAAGCTCCCACTCTACCCCTCGCCTCTTCTAAGCTCCCACTCTACCCCTCGCCTCTTATTATCTCCAACTACACTCTTCTTCTGTTTTCCATAGCCTCTTTGTGTCTTTCACCTTTTCCCGCACTCACTCCCCTTCCCTCCTCGTTTTCTCTTATCAGTCCCCCTCAGAACCACCATGTGTCTCACAGCACCAGCATGTGTCCCAGCAGAAACCACCATCGCCAATTCTAGTCTGCCTTCCTCTTATTCTTCTCATTGCCCCCCCCCCCTAACCACTTGAGACATAGTGACGTGCCATGTGCTCAATGCTGGTTCCCTCTCTCCCTCCTCCTCTTCCTCCGCGGCTCTTTCCATGTGCTCCCTCTCTCCTCTCCCATTCCCCCAGCCCCCTGAGCCGCTGATAGCAGCAGCGCGCCACATAGTGCAGCACCATCTGCTCACTCAACGGCCGAGTCCCATTCTTCCTCCTTGTCTCTTTCTCCCCTCTTGCATTCCCCCAGCCCCCTGAGCCACTGATAGCAGCAGCGCGACACATTGTGCAGCACCATCTGCTCAACGGCCAGTTCTTGGCAGTGCAGTTCAGGAGGGGCGACTTCAAGGACTACTGCCGGAAGAAGGTATGACTTGACCCCATTTCAACCGATCACATCCCATCCCGTCCCGTCCCGTCCCACCCCGTCCCGTCCCATCCCGTCCCGTCCCGTCCCGTCCCGTCCCGTCCCATCCCATCCCATCCCATCCCATCCCATCCCCTCCCCTCCTGTATCCTGTCCTGCCCCATGCCATCCTATTTCTCGCATTCTACGATCTGTTCTCTTTCCCATCCCTCCCACCAGCACCCATCGGACGGCTGTTTCCTGCCAGTGGATCAGGCAGCGCAGTGCATGCGCGCTGCAGCCCTGGCAGCTCGTGTCCCCCTTGTTTTCCTCACCACCAACGCGCTCTCTCTCCCCCATCCCTCCCACCAGCACCCCACGGATGGCTGCTTTCTCCCAGTGGACCAGGCAGCACAGTGCATGCGCGCTGCTGCTGTCGCAGCACTTGCCCCCCTTGTCTTCCTCGCCACCAACACCCTCTACCAACGCGCTCTCTCTCCCCCCCATCCCTCCCACCAGCACCCCACGGATGGCTGCTTTCTTCCAGTCGATCAGGCAGCACAGTGCATGCGCGATGCTGCTATCGCAGCACGTGTCCCTCTTGTCTTCCTCGCCACCAATGCACGGCCACACGAGGTGGCAGCCATTGCAGCAACGCTTCTTGAGGCGCCTCAACAACAGCCACTGGAGTTCGCAGCTACGGTTGCTGCGGCTGATGCCGCTGCTGCTGTTGTTGCTGGTGCTGCTGCTGGTGCTGCTGCTGGTGCTGCTGCTGCTGGTGCTGCTGCTGCAACAGTTGCTGCTGCAGTGGAGCAGCAACAGCCATCTACTGAGGCACTAAAGAGAAGACTGTTGAGTCAATTTGCAGCTGAGGACCACCAGAGAAGAGGGCAGCAAGAGGAGGTTCCACTGCCACACAAAGCATCGCGCTCACTGCAGGCGGTTGCAAAGCCTTCCGGGCCCGATTCTCAGCCGTTGGATCCACGATCTCAGCGGATGATGCCCGCGATTGCTCGGCGCATGCTGCCTGGTGGTTCAAGCGGAGTTGAGGCTTCACTGCAGGATGAGCTACAGCCTGCCAACATCAGCAGCGTTCCTGATGCTTTAGGTGGCAGCAGCAGTGCAGTGCAGCTTGTAACACTAGCGCATCTGCTCTCTAAAGAGGACAGCAGCACGTGGGTTGAACCGCTTGTGGAATCTGTGAGTTGGCTGCAGTTTTACGCTGTGCAGGTTTAAAGGTTGATTGGTTTGACAATTTTCAAAAGACGGTCAAAGCTGGCAAACGCTGGTGAAGGTTGGTGAGGGGTGGTGAAGGGTGGCAATGGGTAGTGGAGGGTGGTGAAAGTTGGCGAATGCTGGTTAGGGCCGGTCCAATGGAGCAGGAGTTAGGTGCCATTGTGACTTTTGAGTCTGTTCGAATGCCTCCAAGGCTGTTTGTGTTAGTTCCTCGAATCACAACCTCGGCAGCAGGCACGCTGGCAATGTTGTGCTTCCGTCATCATTCAGGTCTTTCTTCCTCCTCTGACCTCATTCATACCTTGCCATTCTCCCTTCCTCATGGCATTGATCTCAAAACCACTCCTCAAGCTGCCTCCACACTGGGAAGCTGCAGCGGAAGCTGCAGGGGAAACTGCAGTGCGCGCTGGCTGATGTGCCCTCCTCCAAAACTAGCCTCTCCTTCCCTTCAACCACCTTCCCCTCCTCCTTCCCCCCAAACAGGGCATCAATATCAAGACCACCCCTCAAGCCGTGGCCACATTAGAGAAGCTGGTGTGTGCGCTGGGTGCAGGCTTTCTGGGCACAGCCCACTCCACGTTCACCAATGACATTGTGCGGCTGAGGCATGGGTTCCGCACTGCCAGGTGCAGCGATGATTATATCTGTAGCGCTGGGCCAAAAGAAGGGTAGATGGAAGTAAGCAGTGTGGTAGCAAGTGGTGGGGACGCGCGTGTTGCTGTGGGCGTTCTGGGCACAGCCCACTCCACGTTCACGAATGACATTGTGCGGCTTTGGCACGGGTTTCGTACTGCGAGATGCAGCGATGACTACATCTGCAGCGCTGGACCAAAAGAAGGGTAGAACCAGGAGTAGAAGTATGGTAGTGTGGTGGAAGCATGCGGGTGCTGGCTTTCTGGGTCCGCCCCACTCCACGTTCACGAATGACATTGTGCGGCTGGGTTCCGCACTGCCAGGTGCAGCGACGATTATATCTGCAACGCTGGGCCGAAAGACGGGTAGATGTAGCAGTAGAAGCAAGTAGTGCAGCAGCATGTGCAGAGGGGGTGACAACCAGAGGGTGACAAGGAGAATGGGTGGAGAGCAGAAGGGGTGGAGAGCATAAGTGGTGGAGGGCAAAGGGGGTTGCAAGCAGAGAGGTGGACAATTGGAGGCAATGAAGTGCACAGGGGTGAATGCATCTGCAATGCAGGCCCACAGGAGGGGAGGAAGGTAATAGAATGGAGAGTGGGTTTAAATTCGAGGAGGAGGCATCCACACGTGTGTTCTTTTACGGTACTTAAAATTGTGGAACTTACGAAGCTTGGCAGCTTATGGCACGCTTGCGCAGACTCATGTTACGGTGGGTTATTTATGTATGTACCATAATATATATTGTACAAGCTTCTGGTTATACTAAACTATGTTACACAGTGGGTCAAGGGGTTGGTGGTGGACATACTGTCGAAGTGTGTTTATTTCTGTGATCTGCACCCGTGTAGTATTGACACATTTCAATTGCAGCTTCACCTGACACAGCTTGCCAAAATGTATCATACATTATACGGTATATCCCCAAAACATGGCACAAGCCTGCTGCCTTAACACATCCTCCTAGGCAGCTGCGGTCTTGACGCGTTTGAATTGCAGCTTCGCCTGACACAGCTTGCCTGAAGGGCCTGGGTGGACGAAGAGGGTGGATGAAGAGACATGCACAGGGTGGGTTGATAGGGAGTCATGACCAGGACGGTTGATGGGAGGAGAAACATGGGAAGAGAGGCACGTAGAGAGGGGCATGTCACATGGGACTAAAAGAAGTGATTCTTTTGGAGCGAATTACACCTTGCATACCTGAGGGTCTCTTTAAGAGAGTTAGCTTGGCTTGGGGCAACGGGATGGTGCTGCTGTTGCTCTTGCTGGCAGCACCCTGTTGCTCTTGGGCCATGTCAGCTGGAGTAGGGCTTGGCTGGTGGGCCGCCACATCAGCGGCAGCAACGTGCTGCTGCTGCTGCTGCTGGTGCTGCTGCTGATGCAGGTGTGCCACGTCATCAGCATGTATGCACTGCTCCTGTGCGGTATGAGGAACATGAAAAATGATTGTGGTAGTTGCATATGTTTCAGCCATATGTCTTGCACATGTAGGGTATGAGATTACATGCAACAACCGCTTGCACAAGTCCATGCGGCTGCTCTAAATGCATGGCATCATGGATGAGGGACCACGCAATCCCCGGTCATGTGGGCATATGTATTGCGTCCCTGCCCACTCATGATGAACGGGCCTTGTGTGATAATCACCTATGATGCTCTAAATGCATGGCATCATGGGTGGGGACCATGCACACCCCGTCTATGTGGCATACGTATTGCATCGCATGGCCCATGCCGGCCCATGCAGGCATGATGCCTCCTGCACTAGTATACCATGTATTCCGAATATGCTGCTAGCCTAGTACCATGACGGACCGTCACATGGTGTAACACGTGGCACCTGATGATACCCCGAACGCAGATCCAGCTTCGAGAAGTACCGTGCCTCACCAACTTGCTCGAACAGCTCATCTATCCGTGGCAGTGGGTAGCGGTTCTTGACTGTTATCTTGTTGAGCCCGCAGTAATCTACACACATCCGCAGAGAACCGTCCTTCTTCCGCACGAACAGCACCGGGGAAGCGTATGGAGAAGAACTAGGCTGAATGAACTCCTTAGCTAGCAGGTCCTCTAACTGCTTCTTCAGCTCCTTCAGCTCCACTGCACTCATCTTGTAAGTAGGTCTAACAGGTGGGGTAGATCCTGGAATCAGCTCTATCCTATGATCAGCAGCTCGCTTAGGAGGAAGTCCAGCCGGTAAGTCCTCGGGAAACACCCCTGAAAATTTTTCTAGCAGCTTCTCCACACCCCATGTCAGCTCCTCATCCTCATGTGATGCTAAAACCGTTGGTACCGCTGCCTCAGATGATGTGGGCTGAACCTCTGTGATAAGACCTAGAAAAACTGCTTCCTCCCCCCGAATGGCCTTACCAAACTGCTTCGCAGAAATCAGCTGCAAGGTCAACTCCTCCTGCTGCTGTACCACTGGTAGGCGAACAAACCTTCCCCCAAACAACACCTTTACCTCCCTGGTTTTCCAATCCACCTGTGGGTTTACTGCTGCCAACCAATTCCTGCCCAAGATTATGTCATGACCGTCAAGCCAGATTTGTTGAAAAGGAATTTTCCCATGAAACTCCCCTATGTTTCAGCTGACCGGGTACAACTCAGGTCCACAGCTTCGCACTACACCATCCGCCATGCGCACCGTACTCTCCGCTGTACTGCTCTGCACAGGTAACTTCAGCTCATGCACCAACCGCGAAGAGATGAAATTGGATGAAGTACCACTATCCAGCAACATCTTTACCTCCTTACCACGAATCTGCCCCCGAAGTACTATGGCTCCTTCCGACTCCTGCTGCAGCGGCGTAGAGGATGGAGTCAGCAAGGTGGGGCACTCCTCACCACCAGTAACTCGCCCCGAAGCTACTGGTGAAGCTTGTTTCCCGGCTGCCTGGGCTTGGTAGGGCAGTTGAGAGCTTTGTGACCGCGCTTCCCACACTTGAAGCAATTTCCAGCAAAGCCCTTCCGCTTCTCCTTGTTCCTGTCGATCGTATCCAGTTCCATCGGCGTCGGTCCTGCTCCACCACGCTGCTCCCCCTGGATAGGCTGGAACATGTTCGGACTGAACCGCATCCCACGGTTGAAACGGTTGCGACGGCTGCCGAAGTGGATCTCATCATAGCGTTCAGCGACACGTGCCATCTCCTCCAGCGTACTGCAGCCCTGCACCTCCACTTCCATCGTGCATCTCCTCCAGCGTGCTGAGAATCCTTCCCAAGGAATTTCCTTAGAAGCAAAGAGAACAAACAGAAAAGAAAACAAGGAACAACTACTCTAACTCCTACGAATGCATTTTTATATGTACACTATTTACATTTCAGAAATGCGGCTCGGAATGTCGACATCGAGTCGCATCACCCTTTTACACATTTGTAACTCACTGCTTGCACACACGTGTCCCATTTCTAACCTTCCGATACTGTACCCTCGCCACCTGTCCCACGCGGAAGTCTACCCAAGTCATTCAAGGCACAAAACCTCAATTTCGCCCTTCTCATGTGAGTTCCCCACGTCCTGCACACTTCCGCACCTGCGCTGCCCACATTCGCAGCTGCACGCTGCTGCTGCATGCCCTCGCCACCTGCGCGCTTCGTGTTAGCTCCCGCGCAGGTGCCACGTGTTACACATGGCCCATGCTGCACTGTCATGCCCCACCACCCGTACTGCAGATCATCACGCACCAGCATGCCCGACATGCTGCTGATCATCATGCACCACTAGCATCATGCTGCACGACCATTATCATATAAATAAAAACCTGCCAGGGAACGAGATGCGCGGCGTGGTATATTCGCATTGCGCAGCAACACGGCGGCATCGTCTTGTGCGCTCAAACGTCTCGTCCCATTGCAAAATCCCAATCTCGTCTGTTTCAGAATCGTACTAGTAGCGCCATCGGGCCTGCACTACAGCTGTTGCCTCGAACAACTACTATTTGGCGCTGCGCTGCTGATGCCGCTTGCGATGGGCCCATGGTTTCTGCTTCTCTAGCTGCTAGTAAGGGCGCGGATGCTGCTGATCTCGCTGCTGAATAGTGAAATAGGTGATAGCGGATAATCGGGTTCGAATGAGCTTGCGTGGCCAAACTGGAACCCTAGACTTGAAGGTGTTCGTGTTTCCTGTGCGGAAGGTGCGACAAAATATTGCACCACAGCAGAACAGGCTCGTGAGGGCACACACATACACTACACCCTGTTTTCCGATACACTGAGCCGCGTAGGAAAGCTTCTGTTTCTTGGATTTTTCCACTACGAAACCAGCCAACCGTCCCTTGTAGGCAGGTGTTGTTAAGGGAGGTTCTCATGCATTTTCCCTAGATACCCTAACCAGCCATTCCAAATTTCCAGGTACCTTTCGAAAACGCAACCCATCACACTGGATCGCGCTGGTTCAAAATTCACTATAACGCAGGTGATAGCGCGCTTCTGTACGGAGTGAGTTTCTAGTAGTTGAAAATTCAGTATACCATGATTCACTGTGGCGAGAAACAAGGTGTACACCTCTCACACCAGAAAATTGCGTGGGTTGCAACGTCCACCCTGAACTGTACTGTACTTCAAACAACAGTTGTCACAAACTGCAAAAGAACAAATGCCATGCCAGACAAAACAGCTCTTCTACACTCACTTGGCAGCTTCGGAGAGTTACCCCCAAAAACTGTAGAACGTTTCGAAAGTCGATCGCTCTCAGTCTGCAGTGGCTGTACTGTAAAAGAGTTACTCGAGTTTGTTTCCAGGCATGGCATGACAGAAATGTTTTTCCCGTTACTCACCTTCCGCCGTACACTCACCTGACCAGACCAGTGACCATCTCCTCTCCTCCGTGACTCACCTGCGCCGTCGTACAAGGACGGTGACAGGTGGCAAGGAGAAGGTGGCAGGTACTGTAACTGTACAGCGTGAAATCAGATCTTGCTGGAGGATACAGCTGATGCTCACCCCATGCACGCGAATTTGCCTTGCGCCGGATGGATACGCTGCACCCGAGGTCGTTTCCCCAGCCTTATGCACCTACATTACAAGCGCGTCGCGTGGTTATCAACCAATAGTAACGAACAGACCAAAGTCAAACTAGGTACAGACCGAAGTCAAGCAGAAGAGACTGAAGTCAAACTAGGTTACAGATCTTGTTTATAAGCACATGCGAATCCTTTTTAGCTAGCTGCGAATTGACGAAACTTATGCGAAATGCTCGTGACAGCTTATACGCCCCCTTCGTAAGGCAACCGGGAGGGGCTCAAACAGGCATCAGGTGTAATTGAATGGAGAGTCTGGTCACCGGGGCAAGAAATGAAATAGGAGGGGAAAAAACGTCGCTCTATGGAAGTGCGTGAGCACACGACTGGGTACTGCAGCTCGTCAGAGAGATGCAAAGCTGAAATATACCTACTCGAGCAAGCATCGGTGGGACGAAAATGAAATCGAATCGATCCAAAAGGAAGGAGTGCACCAGGGCAGAATTAGGTTGCTGGCTGCAAAATTGTGGGAGGTGGTGGTTGTCTGGAAAACAGTTGATGCCAGGTGCCACGGGTGGGATGGCACCCCGAAGCCGCTACTGTAAAGATTTTTGCTCGCTTGTAATTCGTCCTCAGCCCTCGGCAAATGGTTCTCCCGACTATGTCGCCTCCTAGGCTAATACCTAGGTTCTTAACTACCGCGGATCCATGCAGCCCCAGCTTACCTGCCTATTTCACCGTACGACTGTCAAACCGTCGCCGCCTAGGCTGGTTCCCATCAATCGACTGTTGGAGGTTGCGTGTGGGGGGGGGGGGGGGGTTTGCCCTCAACCACCGAATGTGTTGCTTCCGAATGTGTTCATTGCAGGTTTCGTGAAGTTGTGGGTTGACTTTGGAAGACCCACTCAAGTGATGCCACATGGCAGCATCAGGAAGAATCGAGGTTGAAGAGAAATTCGGTTCGGTGAAATTCGGGTACCGAATTTCACCCCTTCGAATTTGTTACGCGAATGTTCGCGATACACCTCGTAGTGCCTAGAATGTTACATGTGCGATTCGAGAAATTCCAGTTGCTATAAATGTGCTCGACGTGTATGCATGTTTCATACTGAAAAACAGAGTTCATTGTACACAGTGCAATTCGACCAAAATCCAGAGAGCTCCTATCTTTGAGTCTAAGGGCACTACCTAGCACATAAACAGCTATATCTCACTCGATACTTGGGCGTTCGAGGTGATCTACGGCTCGTTGGAAAGCTACAAGAGTGCTCTACTGCTTAGTACAACCTAGAGTTCCTGTTAACTAGAGGTCACGCCTCTACATCAGTGGTATCAGAGCTGGTCGGAGGAGTCTACGCGCGCGACGAGTGGCGAGCATGATGACATCAAGCGAAGCCTCCGGTAATTCCTCGGGTGGTGTCGTTGTCAATTCCGGCGAACCCTGGGCAACCGCGACGATGTTCGACACGTCGGCGGTACCGATTTTCACGGGACAAAACTACTCCGCGTGGAAGTTTAAGTTCCAAGTGCTCATGATGGAGCGGGGACTTTGGGGTCTCTTCGATGGGACGGAGAAAAAGCCGACGGACGACGAGAGCGCCATCGCGGCATGGAAGAAGAAGGACCAAAAGGCGTTCGCTACGCTAATCTCGCGGATCGGCATCAACCTCGTGAGCTCGGTGCGCACGTGCATCAAGCTCGAAGCGTCGGCGCATGAAGCGTGGAAGCGGCTCGAGACAATGCACGTGAACAAGACTCTCCACGGCAAGATCCTAGCCCGGAACGCGTTCTACACGGTGAAGTTGCGCGCGGGCGAATCGATGCACGAGTATGCGACTCGTGTGGAGGAACTCGGGGAAACATTCTTGGACCTCGGTGGAACGGTCACGGAGGAGGATTGGATTCTCACCTTGCTTTGCGGCCTTCCGAAAGAGTGGTCGACGGTGATTACGACACTCGATAGCGTGCAAGGCACTTGGACGAAGGAAATGGTGGTTGGTCGGCTTCTCCATGAGGAATCGCGTCGCCGACAATTCGCTAATGAGAGCGTGGAGACCGCCATGTTCTCCGGAGGGAGTTCCGGAGGAAAGTCCAAGTGGAGCAAGGGTGCGACGAAGAAGTCGTACGGTGGAAGCGATCGCGGCAAGGGGAACACATCAAACGGCGCGAGCAAGTGCCACTATTGCGGCAAAGCGGGACACTTTTGGCGAGAGTGTCGGAAGCGGCCGAGCGATTGGACTCCATCGAAGGCGCGGAACCACGAGGGCAACGCGCACACGGCATCCGGCGAGGCGGATGATACAAGGGAGTCGATCGTGTTATTGGCCGGTGACGGGACCAACATTCCAAGCGACGCATGATTCCTCGACACCGGCGCAACGCAACACATGACGCACTCGGCATCGTTCCTCACCAACGTTGGTGCACCGCGGGACGTCAAGCGTGTCGTCTTCGGGAACAACAAGTCGCTACCGGTGGTTGGAGTTGGGAGTACGCGTCTCATCGTTGATGGTGGACCGGTTGACATCACGAACGTGCTTCACGTTCCGGGGTTGAAGGTGAATCTACTCTCCGTCACTCAACTCGCGAAGAAGGACGTGAAGGTCACCATCGACGGCGAGACGATGAACCTCTTTTGGAAGGGGAAGCAATTCGCACAAGGCGTTCTCAACGGAGAACTCTACCAACTCAAGACGCACCCGGGAGTGGCTTCATCCAACGTCGCGCAAGGTTCAAAGGCGACTCTTAAGGCGTGGCATAATCGGCTTGCGCACGCCAACTACGACTCGGTCAAGGAGTTGGTCAACAAAGGACTCGCGAAGGGAGTCAACGTGATCGCCGGCGACGACGAGAAGGGCGTGTGCACGGCGTGTGTCGAAGGAAAAATGGCTCGCAAGCCATTTGGTAGCCGTACCTCTCCCCTCGCTAAGGACCCGCTTGTGCTTGTTCACATGGATGTGTGTGGACCGATGCGAAACGCATCAAAGGGAGGAGCGCGGTTCCTCTTGGTGATGCTCGACGACGCGACGCGGATGTGTTGGACCCGACTCTTGAAGGCTAAGGGAGATGCGGCCAAGGCGATTCAAGAGTGGGCGCTCGAAGTTTGCGACGACGACAAGAAGCGGATCAAGGTCATTCGTATCGATGGTGGCGGTGAATTCGTAAACGCGGAGCTCGAGAAATGGATGAAGAGCAAGGGCATTAAGCACGACGTCACAACACCCTACACACCCCAACAAAATGGAGCGGCGGAGCGGCTTAATCGCACGTTGGTGGAAGCCGTTCGTTCTCTTCTTCAACACTCCAAGCTTGGGAGCGAGTGGTGGGGTGAGGCGAGTTCGCTAGCGGCGTGGATTCGCAACCGTTTGCCGACGAGGGTGCTCCCGGGAACGACTCCGTTCGAAGCATGGACCGGAACGAAGCCGAACCTATCCCGCCTACGCACCTTTGGGTGCCTTTGCTACTACCATGTACAGGATCCCCTTCGTCACAAGTTGCAACCGAAGGCTCGTGCGGCAATCTACTTGGGAGTTGCGGCGAACGAGCGTGCGTGGCGCGTGTGGGACTTGGGTGAAAGGCGCGTCGTCACATCTCGAGACGTGGTGTTCGACGAAGACAAGTTTCCGACGAAGGAACAACCAACGCCGCAACTCACCGTCGTACTTCCCGCACGAGAGGAAGATGAAGCGGTGGAGGTTCCATCGCAAGAGAAGGAAGCCGAGAATGGAGGGGGAGAGAACGAGGAGTGCGATGACGATGTCGTGGAGGTGCCACCAACCGAGGAGGCAACTTCCTCCGCACCTTCTTCCCTACCATTGGCGTTGACCCGTGGGCGTCGTACACCTCGCCCCAACACGAAGTTAGCCGACTACGCTACGGTAGCCGTTGGGGAGTTGGATGAGGAGCGTGCGGCATATTGCTTCGCCACCATGAGAGATGACCCTCGCACCCACACGGAGGCTTTGGCTTCTCCGGATGCGCCGCTATGGAAGCAAGCGATGGAGAAGGAGCTAGCGTTGATCAAGGAGAATGACGTGTTCGAGCTCGTCGACCCGCCGAAGGGTGCCTACATGGTGGGGTGCAAATGGGTGCTTAAGAAGAAGTTGGGAGCCGATGGGAGTGTCGAACGCTACAAGGCGCGGCTTGTAGCTCAAGGGTACACTCAACGGGAGGGGGAGCATTATAGTGAGACCTTCGCTCCCGTCGCCAAGGCTACAACTCTTCGAGTGTTGCTCGCGCTAGCGGCATCGCTTAACCTCGAGGTGGAGCAATTGGACGTTTGCACCGCCTTCCTCTACGGGCTTCTTATGGAAGAAGTCTACATGCGGCAACCCCCGGGGTACGATGACGGTAGCGGAAGGGTGTGGAAGCTCAAGCGTACCCTCTATGGCTTGATGCAAAGTCCGCGTGGATGGTACAAGCGCATCGACGACTTTCTTCTTCAACACGGCTTCGCGCGTAGCGAGTGCGATAGCGCTTTGTACGTGTTGCAGGCGGGGGAGAAGCAATTGGTGCTTTTGCTCTACGTCGATGACTTACTCCTCTTCTCCGACTCCAAGGACCTCATTCGGGAGGTCAAGAAACGGCTAGGGGCGGAGTTTGCTATGAGGGACTTGGGGCCGGTCACGTACTACCTTGGGATGCACGTTGACCGTGACCGAGCCAACGGGACTATCCACCTCCATCAAGAGAAGTATGTGAAGGGGGTAGTGGAGAGCTTCAGCATGAGCAATAGCAAACCGGTGGGAACACCACTAGCTACGGGGTTCTCTTGCCTCACGGGAGAGGAAGAATCCACCCTCGATGAAGCCGAAAAGAAGCGGTTTCATTCGCTAGTGGGCTCGCTCATGTATGCCGCCGTTTCTACTCGTCCCGACCTCGCATACGCCGCCGGGGTGCTTGGACGAGTCGTGAGCAACCCTCATACCGAGCATGTACGCGCGGGAGGACGCGTTTTACGCTACCTCCAAGGCACACCTAACTTGGGGCTCGTGTATGAAGCCGGCCCAATTGAACTCAAGGGCTATGCGGACTCGGACTACGCGGGAGATCCGAGCACGCGCAAGAGTACCTCCGGGTACGTCTTCACCTTGCTTGGGGCAGCCGTGAGTTGGCAAAGCAAGAAGCAACCAACCGTGGCTCTAAGCTCAACGGAAGCGGAGTATATGGCACTCACTCAAGGTGCCATGGAGGCGATATGGTTACGGCGTCTTCTAGCGGAGCTTGGGCATCCTCAAACAAAGCCAACTCCTCTCTTTTGTGACAACCAAGCCGCCATAAGCCTCTCTCACAACGCCGTCCTTCACGGGCGAACCAAGCACATTGAAGTGAAGCATCACTTCATTCGTGAGGCGGTTGAGAAGGGTGAGGTCAAACTCACTTTCATAAGCACCAAAGCTCAACCCGCGGACTTCCTCACCAAACCACTCCCTAAGGATTCATTCCGTGCATGCTGTGAGCGTGTTGGATTGAACTTCTAGTGGCTTGGGTGCAAGGGGGAGTGTTGGAGGTTGCGTGTGGGGGGGGGGTTTGCCCCCAACCACCGAATGTGTTGCTTCCGAATGTGTTCATTGCAGGTTTCGTTAAGTTGTGGGTTGACTTTGGAAGACCCACTCAAGTGATGCCACATGGCAGCATCAGGAAGAATCGAGGTTGAAGAGAAATTCGGTTCGGTGAAATTCGGGTACCGAATTTCACCCCTTCGAATTTGTTACGCGAATGTTCGCGATACACCTCGTAGTGCCTAGAATGTTACATGTGCGATTCGAGAAATTCCAGTTGCTATAAATGTGCTCGACGTGTATGCATGTTTCATACTGAAAAACAGAGTTCATTGTACACAGTGCAATTCGACCAAAATCCAGAGAGCTCCTATCTTTGAGTCTAAGGGCACTACCTAGCACATAAACAGCTATATCTCACTCGATACTTGGGCGTTCGAGGTAATCTACGGCTCGTTGGAAAGCTACAAGAGTGCTCTACTGCTTAGTATAACCTAGAGTTCCTGTTAACTAGAGGTCACGCCTCTACATCATCGACATCGTTTCGGCGCCAGGTAAGTCGGTCTTCCTCCTCGGTCTGCTTCCGCTGCTCACTTTGATTACCTCGATCTCCTTCGGTAACTCGGCGCCGACATGCTGGGAGCAAGTCGCGATTACTCTGGTTCAAAACCCGCCCTATCTTAGCTTCCTACGCGTTCCCCCTCCCAGCCTTGCCTCTCGCAGCTCAGATCTTAAATCTCGCAGGTTTCTTCGTTCAACGACCCGGCGGATCTGGCTCGCCTTTCTGCGTTCCGACCTGCTTTATTCGCGCTGCAAACGAGGCGCGGCTTTCACGCGCTGCCGCCTAGGGTCTTTCCAGCACTGCTGGCCGCACCCTGCGGTTCCCGCGCCGCTGCCAACGGATAACCCCCCCCTTCTGCCAGGCTCGCGCTTCCCCTTCCAGCTGCCATCTTGCGAGTTGGGTATTGACTCCTCGTGCTACCGCAATGTCAACACCTCACCTTCGGCCTTTTTCTATTTTTTACAGCAGTGGCAACCGCAGGCCTGCCTACGATACCTCAGCTCCGCATCCTCCCAGGCAAGCGTTACCGCACACCCCTCTGCATGTCAAAAAAGTAGGCCTTGAAAATGGCAATTTACAGCCATAAGGGCCATGCATATGGCATGTGTATGGCCGGGAATTGGCGGGCTATACGCAGGCTGCTTCGTAGGCGTTTCGGTACCGTAAATTCCCCGCCTGTAAATTGAACAAAATGGCTGTCAATGCCAATATACAGCTACAGCCCTATCGTTGTACATGGCTGTACATGGTGGGCAAATGCCTGGTTATTGGCCACCCATTAATGACATTGAGTAGTACAGCCTTAAATGTCTACAAGTTGGAAACCTTTCAAAAGGAATATATTGCCCAGTTGTTACTCAGTTATGCCATTCATTACAATTTATTAGACCAACATCTACAGGCATGCATGGACAAATGTTTAACAGTTTATAGTGGTGCCATGTATCATATTGTAGAATCAAAATGCTGCTCAGCTATTCATAATTATGAATTAGACGATCATATATTCCAGTTAGCAGTTACATCCAAATCACTAAGATCACCCATCTAACAGCTCCTCATGCTGTCCCTACACCAACCCATCAAACTCAGCCTCAAAGCCTTCAATAAGGATCTTCACTGCGCCTCTGCCCATGACAAACCCAGCTGGCGCTTCGCTGTTGTAAACATCATCATCAGCTTCGAGTCTTGCCTTGATCCAGGCGATCACAACCAGGATTTTTGCAGCAACAGCGGCCCTGTTGTTCTCATCAGATGCATCGAGGGACGGGTTGGCGTGGCCGTTGTGGTTCGCCATGGGCCATTCCACCTGTAAAAAAACCATATCAGCGATAGAAGTTTCCATATTCATACCAGCAAGCCAAGGAGTCATTGGACACTTACCACGTGGCAGATTGTGGCGACAGCCTGGATTTTTACGTTGAGCCTGTTGCATCTCTTGCCACCAAGGCCCTTGCACAAGGCAAGCTCAAAAGAACGGTTGGCAAAGGGACGGCCAGATCCGTCACAGTGCCACTTGGAGCCATACACATCTGCCATGCATAAACAAATAGACTTCCGTCATATACTGAGTTGAGCAGAAATAGTGCGCGATCATTCAATAATAAAAGACAGGCTCACCGTCACGGAAAAACGCGTGCCATTTTGATGCCGTCCTCCGACGCGTTGGGGCGAGGTTCTCAGCCGCAAGCATGGGCACCTTGTTCTCAGTGATATACCCGCCTGGTCCATGAGCGTACGGCTTGCTCGCCGAGAAGATGTTGCAGCGACGCTCCGACATTTTCTGCATCGGGATCTTCTCACGCTCCGGATTGTCGGCCATAACGGTGTTGAACATGTCAGAAGGCACCCCCACATCCTCGTACAGCTCCTGAAACTTACGCCTAAGGCTTGAAAGGGTGGGGTAAAACGACTGCTCCCGCGCAGGAGCCTCCCCAATGAAGTAGTTAACAGCTGCGTTGCATTTGAGCTGCACACATAACTCCAACCGTGAATAATATCAGTCAAAGGATTAACACTGCGAGTCAATAAGAGTCACGAACGAAAAGTTAAGCCACGAACATAAATACAGTACCAGGGTTCGCACAGACTTACCTTGAAAAATGACAGATCCAGCAGCACGGGCGGGATGGCAGCACCCTCGCGCACGATTGGTACCACCCCGTGCCGATTCGCGTTGGTGGTTGTCAACGGGCTGCTGCGCCGTGCTGACGCGTGCAGCATACCAACACCAGCTGCGGGAGGCCCGCCGCTGTTGGACGAGGATGGGCCGGGACTGCCGGTCGTTGCTTGAGCAGGCGTCTGGCGAGCGGCAACGACTGCTCGTATTCGTTCCGTTTCCTGGGACTGTTCTTCAAGCTGTCCCCGGAGGGTAGCGACCGTGTCGGCCTGATGCGCGATCGTTCGCTCCAGGTCGCGGTTCTGTGCGACGTTTTCATTGACCGGAATGGGTCGTGCTGCACAGCAGGAATAGAAGAAAAACAAGTTAGTATGGTGCGTCACAGGCCAACACAACAAAGGCGGGGCATACAGTACTAATAGTGACACCCTGCTTAGGCCTTTTACCTGGTGGCTTAGCCTTTTAACACGCCCCGACTCATGAGCAGCTTCGACAGCTCCCACAATATCGGCGACAGCGGCAGAGCGCCGACGGGACTCGGGGCGGTCATCCTCGGCCTGATCCTCCAAAACTTCAGCTAGTTCGCACTCGTCGGGGTGCCCGTCACCCTCATCTTGCTGGTAAGCGTCGTCTTTGCCTTCGCCCTCGTCGATCAACGGGTTGAGGGTGTTGTCCTCTTGGGTCTCGGGCTCATGCGGCCTAGCATCCGCAACCGCAGCAGTAGTGGTAGCGTCGTTCAGCTGCTGCTCTTCGGCTGTTTCTGGAGTGCGTGGCTGCGAAAATGACTGATGGTGAGGGTTTGGGCCCGCGGGGTTGGAGTCATGACGCAGTAACTCCGCGTTCAGCTGATCCCTCAGCGCAGCAAGGTCTTCTCGTGTCATTTCTGCGAAACCAGGGCGAGCAGTGACATCAATGTTACCAACAGGCACTTGACTGCTAGACCCACCACTTCTCTTCGTGGGTGGTTTTAACCAGTTGTATCATGACCCTGAAGGTGTTTCGGCAAAGAGTTCACGTTGCGGGCGACCAGAAGCCTGAGTTGCGAGGACACGTGCCTGGGCCATAGCACTGTTGGCAGCCAATTGGTTCGCCTTGCTGAGTGTGCGACGGTTGGGGGTTGGAAAACTGCAAGCGATGCTCGGTTGTGTCGCACCCGTCATTTATGACGGGTGACATTGGGTGAAGAAGCATCTTCATTGGCTGTTGAAACCATGCTCCGATCGCGCGACGAGGTACCTGAAGTTGCGAGTCGAAAACATCTGTGCGACCCAATCGAATCAAAATTTGGCGATACCCGCGTTCTTCGGGCGCCGAATGCGATTGAAGAACATTGTTGAGCACGCACGTCAGACGGACGTGCAGTCGTAACCTCTGGAAGCCAGAAACTGTGGCTAAATTAACGCCACGTGGCTGTGCTATCGAAATCAAAGCGCGGAAACCACTAAGTTGAGGGATCACATACCCAGCCAACCACATAGTGTGCGATGCGAATGCACGAACCTCACCACTCCAAATGTCTAGAACACTAGGAAGGCAGAATGTACACTATATATAAATATATTACAACAACAACACAGCAAAAATACATTTCAGAGGATGAAATGGTTCAACAACCACAATGGTTCATCAGCCTTAGGCTGCACAAGGTGTACAGCACGAAGTATGCTGCATGTGTCAACCACACGGTATCGTTGTCCCTGTGCAGCCCACTTCAATTGCTTGCACTTGGTCGTTTCGTCGACGGGGCCAACTTCATCGTAGTACTTGACAAAAGCGTAGTCTCGTCGATCACTCTCATGACCAATATGAAAGAGGAGCAGCACTTTGCCGTACCACTCATCAGCGCCGCCATGAATGGCGACGTCCGAAAACCAGCCACGTCCATGGAAAAACGGCACTGCACGAATGCGGTGTGGGACGTCTCTAAATGACGGGTCGGTGGCTGGAGGCATGGCCAATTCCGAGTGGATGTACAAAGTAAGTGCATTCTTTGTTGTCTCTGAAAACCTGTCCAGCGCTGGTCGGAGCTGTGAGAGGTCGTCTTTCAATGCGGCGACGTAACGTTCGTCGCGAACCTTGGAGGGAGTGGGGAAAGTCACGAAAGGGTACGCTCGTTGGCGGCCTTTTTGCACCGTTAAGGGCCATGCCAAGCGCGACATGGTGCGACGCCCTGTCCGCATAGCCTGTTTGAGCAGCCACAAAGATGAATTAGTGTTGTGTATGATGGGCAAACAACAACTGGACGCAGCTTAACACTTACCTCGCGCATTGCCGTATTATAGTGCGTCTCTTGCACGTCGGACACGGCAAGTGTATCGGCGGCAAGCCTTGTCTCCTCTGCACGGACGAGTTGTCCTGCGACGTCACGCTTGTTGGATGCGCGATATGGGCGTTTGATGTGGTCTTTGTGGTAGAACTCTGCGATGTTGGCGTCGTAATGAATTGGCGGACCGGCGCGCCGGATAGCATCAATGTAGTGACTTATTAGGTGCATTTTAATGAATCGCCACTTGGATGTCTGCTTGAATGCGGTTGTTAGTTGAGCAATCATCCTGCGAGATGGGTGGGGGGGGACGGGTGGGTAAGTGGCCGAAATCAACAATGAGATTAGAAAGGGGGACGAAAGCATGGAAGTTGACATTACCTCTTGGCTAGTTCTTCAAGGCGTCGAAGAGTAGCGTCGTCATATTTTGTTGCCTTTGCGCACTCCGAGTACCAGTTAAGGTACAAGATGATGGCATCCATTTGCAGCTGTGAAATGTGGTCGGTCACGAGGAATGGCAGCAGTTGCATCACTGAACGATGCTCGTATGCTTGGTAAGATGCTCCAAGTTTGAAGTACTGTCCGGATGGCAGCCGCAAAAAATCCCACCTCCATGTCTCCTTGAGCCATTGGAGGCGCCTGTGTGAGGGCACCAAAAGAAGCACAAACATCTGAGGTCCTGGGAGTAGAGTGGGCAAAACGCGTCATGTGTATTGCATGAAACCATAACAACACATACCTGTCGATCGCCTCGCGCACAGACTCAGGAATGACTCCACGCAAGGCTGTTAGTATGTGATCTAGAATCCCCAAGTCCGCTTGATGCATGAGATCCGGCATCACCGCGAGGTAGGGGTTTCCCCATTGCTCCGACTCGAACCTCCAGCCCGTTAGCGCGCACTGCACAAGGAAGCATTGTGAAACGCATGCTTAGGGAGTAGAGAGGCATGTGGTGAAACAACACGTAACATTGTAACCCACTAACCTCGACTGGATGGGTGGAAAGGTCCTCCACCCTTGCCTCGCCGCGACGTCTCGTTGCCTTTAGTGCCGTGACAATGTCTTGTTGTTGTTGCGGTGTGCGCCATTGAATGTTGCTTTGGTACTCGGCCAAATCCTTCTTATGAACGGTGCACATTGAGCATGGATAAGTCATGCCCAATGACTTTGTGCACGTCAACTTACACGTCTCTGGGTAATCGGCGATGTATGCATACAACGCCGGATATGCGGTGAAAGAATGACCGGAAGCGTCCTCTACTCGAGTACCCCTGAGTAGGGTATAGGAAGGGCAAATGGGTTGTGTTAGTCGTGTTGGCATGCGGATAGCATTGCAACAAAAGGATCGAATGCGCTAGAAATCAAACAACTATACCCACTTACACATGACTAGCAGCTTTGAGAGGTTGAAGCGCCTTAGCGAGAACCTTTTGGAAGACTTGCAAGCAATCGAGTGAAGTGTACTGAGGCGGAAAGTCTGGAAGAAGAGCAATCATCGCATGGCCGTGAGGTTTCCACCGGTCCTCGCGAGCAATGTTGGCCAACGACATGTAGATGGGATGTCCTTTCGTCTTTCCACGCGAATCCATCATAGTTTCGTCCGAGGCAAGAATGATGGTCGCGACAACATCGTCAGGCCCGAGCTTATCCTGGAGGAAATGCATGTGGGGTGAGGGAAAAGAACCAAAGTATGAGTACCAAAATACTTAGAATGGCGCATGCCCTATTGTGAACATCGTACCTGAACATCGTTCCAGAAATTTGCTGTTTCGGGAGCATCGTACACCCGCACCCCATCCACGAATTTCCGATGCGCCCTTGTGATAAGTCCACGAGCATCGCGGGTGTCTTTTAGGAGGGCCTTCATGGCCTGTATGTGATGGGTGGCAGGTGGAAAAAAGGGTTGAAGATTTCTGTTCCATAAGGGGAGGTATGTATGGGAGATGAGTAAAGGGTGTGATATGGCAGCAAGGACCATGCTGTGAATGCAATGGTGTGATATGGCAGCAAGGACCATGCTGTGAATGCAAGGGTGTGATATGGCAGCAAGGACCATGCTGTGAACGCAAGGGTGTGATATGGCACCAAGCACCATGCTGTGAACGCAAGGGTGTGATATGGCAGCAAGGACCATGCTGTGAACGCAAGGGTGTGATATGGCAGCAAGGACCATGCTGTGAACGCAAGGGTGTGATATGGCAGCAAGGTCCATGCTGTGAATGCAAGGGTGTGATATGGCAGCACGGACCATGCTGTGAATGCAAGGGTGTGATATGGCAGCAAGGACCATGCTCGAATGAGGATCGAATATGAGAAAAGAGAGGTGGGGCATGCTAGAGTGAGAGAAGGCAGAAACGAAATGATGAATGATCCTGTGAGCAAAGGGGAGGAATGAATGGGACATGGTGCAGCTCAGAGGTACATTCATCATGCAAAAAAGAACCAGAGAGGAAAAAACAAAACATAATATCTGAAACATAAGAAGGCTATCCAAAGGATGTGAGAGCTGGGTCTTGCAATGGTTGAACATCCAGCATGCACCATGAGTAAACAACATCATGGTGCATGGAGACGTGTGAAAAGGGGAGGCATGAAAGGCGAACCCAGCATGCCAAACCACCATGGATCATAACCCCCAAAGTCATAAAAAACCGAAAATCTCATGAATATGAGGATTGCATATGAGATGTGAGAGGTGGGGAATGCAAGGGTGTGATATGGCAGCATGGACCATGCTCGAATGACAGATTGATGCATGAAGCTGTAGACAACTGTGAGGAATGAGTGGGAAAAAAAAAACCAATCGGAAAAACGTATAAATATGATGACTACAAAAGGGATGTGAGGGCTGGGGAATGCAAGGGAAGAAAATCCAGCGTGCATCGTGCTCAAACAACATCACGGTGCGTGGTGCTGTGAGCAAAATGGTGGTATGAAAGGGGAACCAAGAAGATGAACATGAAGTTACTTGAATCCGAGGGTTGGCTAAGGGATGTGAGAGTTGGGGCATGCGAGGGTGTGATAAGGCAGCAAGGACCATGATTGAATGCCATCATGATGCTGGAAGCTGTGAGCAAAAGGGAGGAATGAATCTGAATCTGAGGAGCCCATAAATCTATTTTCCATGCGGGTAAAGAGGAAAAATAAAACTTTTCAACAACAATAGGGCTAGAAAAAGGGGAAGGGGATGCTCAATTTCTTGTGTGCGGCATGGGGATACTCAATTGCTCACCTTGACACTGTCACAGTAGTGGTATTTTAGGAGCGGCTTCCCTGCAATGCGGCGTTCTCCATTTTGCCATGACCGATCGGTGTTGACCGCCTTCAAAGCCACATGTTTGTATAGGTCGCGAAGGCTTTTCCAGCCACAAACCTCACCGAGATGACCGCCACTTTTGTTGAGAATCCGCAGCAACGCCGCTACCGCCCGTTGAGAAATCTTCTCATTTAATACCCATCTACAAAGCTCGTCTTCGAATGAAAATGGAGTAGGAGGTCTAGGCTCCGCCTCGTGCACTGATTGTGACGAGCCCTCAGGCACCGCCGCACGTTCAGGGGATGGTGAGGAGGGTTCTTCTGAATCAGATTCATCTTCCCACACGGGTCTATCATCGTTGGCTGAATCTCGTGGGCCCATGGTTTCATCAAAGGATGGAGGCAAAAATGGGTCTTCACGGGCCATTGGTTGAAACGTGTTCGGTAGAGAACTGCTGTCCGGGGCCACGGCGCTAGAATTACTAGAGCTGGAGGGTATGCACGTCGCATTGCTGGCTTGCGCCAGCCTGCACTGGTGGCTTCCTATGTGCCTCTCAAGGGCTCCACTACGACCAAATGGGCCAGATTTGCATAATCTGCAATACTTGGACCAATCCATGACTAAGACTGCTGCTGCTAGCCTCTACACTGAAGATGTGCTCTGGAGAAATTTGGAAAAATATGGGATGAGCATCTGTCGTTGTAGAAACGCATGCGCTGGTGATGGTTTACTTACCACCTAGGACTTGAGATTCTCTGCTACGTAGCAGAAAGACTAGAACTTGTGGTGGTATGTGCCATGACAAATTTCTGATACGTATAGGTTGTGCGTGATAATTAGCGGTTCAGTGCGACAGTTTTACAAAATTCACGTAATACCATACTGAACCGATCTGAAACTTCTCTAACGTCGTAATCGTATGCGATTTCGAATTCCATCTGAGAATGCAGCCAAATGTGCGCTTCGACGTGGAATTGACATTCAAATTTCGAGGCGACTCGATCTGGTTAGCGAACATTCGCCCTCACCAACGATTGGTTGGCATTCAGCCGCGACTTGCGGAATTTTTCACTAGAAGGCAACCACTTTGGTTATTTCGCCAACCGCAGAAGTCGTTGCATATTGCAATGCGCGAAAAGTAGTCGCGACGCAGACCAAACGGCAAAAATGACTGCAGCAACAGTTATGTCGCTAGTCGCATTTTGGAACGGCAAGAGATGGGCGCCCATCTGGCCGCACGGGTTGTGAGAGTCATCGGCCATGAGCAGTTCAAAATTCAAGTCAACATAAGAACACTGTACAGAACATGACACGTGGACCACTCGGACCGCGAAGTACACATGTTCCAACGGCATGTGTCAGAACGAAATGCTGAGTCTGAAACACACCGATGTGATCGTGTGATTTTCGCCCTGATTTGCGATTGGCTGGCGTCCCGTCGCAACCAACGGGAAGACGTGGAATCTTGTGGCAAATTGGCCAACGATTGGATACAGTAGTGTGCGATGAAGCTTATCGAGACGAAATCCAACCTGAGAAATCGCCTTCAGCAGAACCGCAAGAGGCGCGAAACCAGTTACTGTTTCTAAAGGTCAGAAATGCAAATTAACTGCCCGCACTTAAAACGTCATTTAAAAGCCAAGTCGCGAGCGTAATCTAGCGCATGAATATATCTGAGACCCAGTACCATGGAAAATACAGTGTAGCTCAACAGTGACATAAACGGCCATTTCGGAACGCGAAGCGCATGCCGATGCCACAATTTCACAACGTTTAAAAATTGAAACGTCTTCAACATGTGGAGAAACGCATGACGAAATACGTAGTGAATAACAAACAAAACAGACAAAATGTCTACTCCCATAACGGAGCTCCTATTATGAAAACGAAGCATACCTAACCCCCCTACATCCCCTGCTCATTTACGTGCTCATTGCAGAGTGAGCCGAAATGTTTCCCTCTGAGCAATTTGAGCCGTCGATCCCCGATGATCTAACGTCCGATAACACTCTCGAACTAACATCCCCCAGTTCATTTACGTGCTCCTCGCAACAATACCTAAATCAGTGCGGCGCGACACACTTCATGAATCGCGTCCAAGATCCTGACCGTTGATCAATTTGGTTGGAATTTGATCCGTCGATCAAACGTCTGCACATTCCACGAAGCAACCAAACACATTTTCACGAGCACCGAATTGGCAGAACAGGGTTGAGTTGAGTCGCAAAATTGCCAAGTTCCCCTCGCACATTGCCACAGCATGTAAACAAGAAGTTATGACGCTCGGAAACCATCGGGAAAAGAGCCTCTATAGACTAGGCCATTTACATGCGGCTCAGAATTTTTGCGATGCCCTTCTCGGTCGATTCTCCCGTCACTGCTTTGCTAAGAGTCAAGGTCCATTGGCCTCCCACTCTTTCCGCAACCTCGTCTTCTCTTTCGCTCCAATGCTTCCCACCTTGCCTTGTCATCCCTTCCTATATGTATTCAACTCGGACTCGGGCTGCCGCTTAGGCTTCCAGTCCTTCCCTGACTCGGGTTGCCACCTAAGCTCCCAGTCTACCCCTGACTCGGGTTGCCACCTAAGCTCCCAGTCTACCCCTGACTCGGGTTGCCACCTAAGCTCCCAGTCTACCTCTGACTCGGAACGCCGCTTAGGCGCCCAGTCTAACGTGAATCGCTGTGGCCAACGCCTTAGCGTTCACATCCTCGCACTTGACGTTGTTAGCGTTGCGCTTCGTGGCTCGGGAAGCACCTCCGGTTTTCGGTCAGCTCTCTTGGACCGCCCTGGTCACTGCTCTTGCAAATGCCTGTTGGACCTCCCCCCCCATCCCCTGTGCCTCGCGGCCCAAGGTTTCAACCTTGCCTCTCTCGCCTGCACTCTTGGAATATTGCCCCGTTCGCTTGTCCAGCCTTTCTGCCCTGTTTTCGATGTCGCTTAATGCCTCGGCTCGTGTCATACCCCTCACCCACTCGCACAAATGCCCCCCCTCTTCCCCTCCCATGCACGTGTCCCGTCCCCATATGAAGCCGCCCGTAACCCTTCCCCTGGGGCGGCCTTCTCCCCTAGAGGTGGCTCACTGTGGCTGCCTCATCTCCTATATCCCAATCTCCACCCCGCCCTTGCACCACCCCTCCGTCTCCCTGGACAATCCTTCCCCCCTCATGCCTCTCTGGTTCCACCCTGAGCCCTCAGGCTGCCCTGATAGCCTGCTGCTCTACCTCCCGCCCCCTCTTACCTTTGAGGCGCTTTCACAAAGCCCCTCAAAAACCCTGGCTACCTTGCCGCTTTACTTTCCACCCTTTCTATATTCTTCCTTGCGGTACTCCCTGGCCCCCCTCTTACTCCGTGTGCCTGGCAGAAGCCTTTGCTATACCTGTTTCCAAGCAAAATTTATGCCGTCGGAGAACTTTCTCCCTATGCCTGCACCCCCAGCAGCTTTTGCTGCCCCTTGGTTGCTTGCCCCACGGTACAGTGCATCAGATCGATACGAGCTTACATGTCTTAAATGCTTCACTTGCCATTGTGCACATAACCTTGCGGTCGACACGCTCAGCTTCAATACTTGCCCAAACTCTAGCTGGTTCTTGTACCATACTGGTCAATACCGTCAATACAAATTACCAAAACGGCATAAGAATAGCAGAGCGCCTGTGCACATCTTTGCCTTAGGAAGGAAACGGGACCGTACTCTCTTATTCAACACACAAGCTCTCGTAGTCCGCCAATCAATCACTTTTCTGCACTTTGCAACCTCAATGCACCTCATGTTAGCCTTGCGGTTGTGGCGTTACTCTGGTCTTTTTCGGTTAAAGCCAGCACACATTTATGCTTCACGCACCCCAAACCCCAAACAAGCCCTGTCTCGGCAGCTCTTTGAAGTCAAGGATCCACCGGTACGCCTTAACACGCCGACACACCACCTAATGTCGCCTCGGCACCATGAAGCTCACCATGCCTGGCACGACTCCGGCCTCACCCCCACCCCTTACACTCACCAGGAAAAACTTGTGTTTAGGCCGTGGATACGCACGCTCTCCCGTGCGGAGGCCTTCACGTCGTTGCCATGTTAACACACCTCCGAATCCTATGTATCAACGTGAACGGAATCAATGAGACTCGCAAGATGGATGAGCTCAAGTCCTGGCTGTCGCGCCTTCCTGCCCCCACTGACCTGATCATCCTCGTTGACACTCGACTCATCCTCAGAATTCCCAACCTCGACTTCAAATTCCGACCACACTCTTCCGCTCACGCTCCGGCGCTGCTCTCGACTGATAACGCTACCGGGAGGCCCACTCTCATCGGCGGCATATCTGTCCTCTCATTCAACAGAGCCATCTCACTGTCCTCCCCGCTCCCCTCTGCTGACGGCAGGCTCATCACTGTCCACCTTAATTATCTCCGCGAGAAAATTCGACTTATAGCCTTATATGCGCCCACACAATTTTACGAGCGTCGAATCTGGTGGTCCACCACGCTCGTTCCGGCACTAGAAACCCCCACCGCTGCCTCCGCAACCATGCTCGTTGGAGACTTCAACTAGGTCACCCTTCCCATCGACAGGAACCGACCACTCAAGGACTACGAATGCCGCGAAGGAGCTTCATTCGACAAACTCATGAACACTCACGCGCTGGTCGATACATTCCGTGAACTCTTCCCCACAGCTGCTGACGTTTTCTCCTTTTATGGCAGGCAACGCCTTAATTCGACGTCCCCTTCCACATCTTCCCGCCTCGACAGAATCTACATCTCCCGAGCCTTCCTCCCCCGCCTCGCTGGTAGCCTGTACATACAAACCCGCACGGCAATTACTGATCACTTGTATGCCCCTCTCTGTCCGCTCTGGTTCACCAACCCCACTGTCGCCCCCCGACCCTGGCGACTGCGCCAACAACTACTCATGAGACCCCGCGCCGCACAGATCATCGATGCCGCCCTTGCCGCCTTCCCCTCCTCCCCCTCTCTGGAACTCTGGGACAGATGGAAGCTTGACCTCACACTCAATTTCAAACGATTCTCCAATCAGGAAACACGGCGCGTAGATGGCACAATCGCGCACCTGGAGTACATTATTGGATCTCTACAGTCGCAAGCAGCGTACACGCCCTTGGACTAGAACGAATCTTCTTGCCTAAGCCAAGCACGGCTTCATCTGGCCAGATATGAAGCCTCGAAAGCCTCTGAGATTGCGCTCAAGGCCAAGCTGAAAGTGGAAGGGCACAGGGAAATGGGTGTTTCCTCCCTCCTTTCCGGACTCAACTTGCGAATCAAAGGCTCGATCATCAATTCCCTGTCCCTACTCGACCTCGGATCTAGCCACCATGACCAGTGTGTGCTCTAATTTTTTCAGACCCTCTACAGTGGAAATAATCCCGTCAGACCTAACCCATCTTTCTGGCAACATATCCCCCCCTCATCCATCCCAAACCCCTTACTCCTCCGTCTCAGTGCCCCCCTTTCCCTAGCCGAGATTGGAAAAGCAATCCTCTCTCTTTCACGTGGGAAAACCCCCGGCCCTGACGGTCTCCCCGGGGAGCTATACCGACAATTCTCCCCGCGCTTCGCACCGGCCTTCCATTCCCTACTCTCACCATCACAGCCACTCTCCCGCCTTCCTCCGTCCATGCTGACCGGACGAACAGTCCTTATCCCCAAAAGGGGGGACTCTTCGCTTGTGGAAAATCTCCGCCCCATCACTCTAATGAACGCCGACTACAAGGTACTTGCGTTGTGCCTTGCTAACCGCCTTCTGCTCGTCCTCCCCCAGCTCATCCACCCATCCCAAACTGCTTTCATCAAACATAGAAAAATCGGTGACACGATTAACGACACCCTTGACATCATGGACTGGGCGGCCTTCTCCTCGTCCCCCCTCCTCGCTCTCACGGTGGACTTCCGCAAAGCCTACGACCTCGTTGATAGGCCTTTCCTCCTCCAAGCCTTATCCGTCCTGGGCCTCCCCGCATCCTTCATCCACTGGGTCCGACTAATGCACTCCAACACGTATACTCGTATCTCGGTCAATAATAGGCTCGGCCCCACCTTCCCCGTCCGCACTGGTGTCCGTCAGGGCTGCCCACTGGCTCCCTTGCTCTTCGTCTGCGTCATGGAGATCTTTCATCGCTACATGTCCCTCTCCCTCCCCGGCTTCGCCTTGTCCCCCGCACAACGCCGGCTTATGGCGTGCTACGCAGACGACGTCACTCTCTTCCTCACCTCGGATATAGAGCTCGGACTTGCTGCAGTGCTGCTCGGCGTCTTTGGATCGGTCTCTGGAGAGGTTCCCAACTGGAACAAATGCTCCATAATCCCATTCAACATTCCCCCTTCTGACCTCTTATACGCCGGAAACATACCCATCCGAGCTCCCAATAAAGCCGAACGTATCCCTTTCAGCTGCTGCCGCCTCTATCAACCCCTCCTCCGCCTATCTCAACGCGGCGACGCATCAGCTCGCCGCCTCTCAGTCGGTCCCTGGCCTGCCCTCCGCCTCTGCCTCCCTTTCAGCTGCTGCCGCCTCTATCAACCCTTCCTCCGCCTATCTCACCGCGGCGACGCATCAGCTCGCCGCCTCTCAGTCGGTCCCTGGCCTGCCCTCCGCCTCTGCCTCCCTTTCAGCTGCTGCCACCTCTATCAACCCCTCCTCCGCCTTTCTGAACGCGGCGACTCATCAGCTCGCTGCTCGGATCTCTCCCTCTGCTGCCTATGTGCATGTCTCTGTTCCTGCACAGTCCAGGCCCGCCGTTGCACCTGGATGGACCTCCCTGCCACCTGCTCCCAGTGCTCTCTCACCCTCTACCTCCTATATCAATCCTGAGTTCCACCCAACCAACTCAGGTCAGCCTGGCTCCGGCCTCATCCCACCAGCCTCCGCAACTCCTGCTGCTGTAGTGGCGCCCCCTGCTACACAATTGCAGCCGTCCGGACTCCCATGGACACTTCGTGTGCGCAAACAGAAGTCCGCTCTCCCAGACCCTGGACCATCACATGTGGAGGCTGGGTCGGATGAAGACTCCGACGATGATGAGTCTTTGGAGAATCAAGCTGAGCATGGTGGTGAACAGCGGCCTGTTGCAACCAGTACTTCGCGAGCCATTCTTGAGGCCGCGCAAGCTCAAATCCGACAAAAGGCGCGACGCATAGCTGAGCTGGAGAATCAGCTACCTCAGCAAAAAGGCCCTCATGCTGGCAGTCACGCCATAGTTCAGCGCCAGGCTAATTTGCCCAGCCCTTCCCAACAGTTGCCGGTTGCACCCCAGCTTGCTCCTTCAACCACTCGACCTTGCACCCAGCCGAATGCAACACACCCCCTGATTTTCTCACCAGTGGTGTGGCCACGAACGCAGGCCGCTTTTAGCCGTGCTGTGGCAAAGGCGCACATCAAGCGGCAGGCCATCGACTGCTCTGCAATGTCGCCACGGCAATGCGGGTGGTACAATAACGTCATCACGGCGTTGGATGCTTTTCCGGATGTGCACGATGACCTTAAGGTGAGCAGCAACCATTCGTTTGAACGTTCGTCGTGCTTTCAAATGTCATTGGCATAGAATCTCAAATATGGCCGCGGTAGTAATGTAGCATTGGGTACCTGTATCCCCCACCCCGTAGACTCCTCATGCCACATGAATTCACGCCCTCCCTTCCCTCCCCTGTTCTCTCTCCCACTCTGCCGCTTTGTGCACTATTTTTGTTGCCCTACTACAGGAATACGTGGATGAGGCTCTTGATATCATGTTTTTTGACACCCCAGTCACTGATTTTACAATGTGGCCTAGTACCGAACGCCTAGAGGCAGCCTTGCGCAGGGCCCTAGGCCTCACAGAGCCGGAGGAGCATTTCATCGTGCGTATTGTTCTGAAAGCTGACAAATACAGGAACGGCTACATCCGTGATTTGATTCAAGCGTTTCGCAACGATGCCTTGACGGATGGGCGAAATTGGGTGTACGATGCCTTCGACTTGCACGTGCCAAGACCGAGGCTTGGTGGGAAGAGAGAAGGCACCCTCACGACCGTGCTGTTCTTGGACCTGTACGCTGAAAGTGAGTATGACTTTACACTCCTATCAGACCCCCGCCCCTACCCCACCAAAGTCACAGCCCGGTCCTAAACCCTTAACCGTCTTTCTCTCCCTGTTTTCCCCTCCCCACTGCAGCAACAAGCAAAACCAGCAAGGTGACAGCCCAACAGTCACCAGTACACCCTTGTTCCCCCCTGTTTTCCCCTCCCCACCCCAGCAGCAAGCAAAACCAGCAAGGAACCAGCAAGGTGACAGCCCAACAGTCACCAATGCACCCTTGTTCCCCCCTGTTTTCCCCTCCCCACCCCAGCAGCAAGCAAAACCAGCAAGGTGACAGCCCAACAGTCACCAGTGCACCCTTGTTCCCCCCTGTTTTCCCCTCCCCACCCCAACAGCAAGCAAAACCAGCAAGGAACCAGCAAGGTGACAGCCCAACAGTCACCAGTGCACCCTTGTTCCCCCCTGTTTTCCCCTCCCCACCCCAGCAGCAAGCAAAACCAGCAGGGTGACAGCCCAACAGTCACTATTGCACCCTTGTTCCCCCTTGTTTTCCCCTCCCCACCCCAGCAGCAAGCAAAACCAGCAAGGTGACAGCCCAACAGTCACCAGTGCACCCTTGTTGCCCCCTGTTTTCCCTTCCCCACCCCAGCAGCAAGCAAAACCAGCAAGGTGACAGCCCAACAGTCACCAGTGCACCCTTGTTCCCCCCTGTTTTCCCCACCCCACCCCAGCAGCAAGCGAAACCAGCAAGGTGACAGCCCAACAGTCACCAGTGCACCCTTGTTCCCCCTTGTTTTCCCTTCCCCACCCCAGCAGCAAGCAAAACCAGCAAGGTGACAGCCCAACAGTCACTAGTGCACCCTTGTTCCCCCCTGTTTTCCCCTCCCCACCCCAGCAGCAAGCAAAACCAGCAGGGTGATAGCCTTGCCTGACTAATGATTCACATTTCAATTGTTTCACAAAGTATCGTATCTTTCCCCCACAACACGACAGGCGCTGCATCGTACGACATGCTCACTTGGCACATGAATGAGCACCGTGTGCCGTTTGCAACACCTGTCAAACATTGTATATGTTATATTTGTGTAGGCTGTAGTGGGTTAGCCTATAGGGGGGTCACAACATTAGGGTTTCATATTTGTACTCACAGTCCTTTCTAGTTCATCATTCCAGTCTGTTGTTCCGACATGGTTTCAGAGCAGGTCCTTCGCTAGGACCGTTTTTTTTAAGGGCCCACCGCTACCTAACTCCCTACCTACCTACCTACCTAGGGCGCCTCGACTTTTTATTTTCAGCCCCTAAGCACTAGCGACCCGCGACCCGCCCCTTAAGGCCCCGTCGCGCCGCCCCTTAAGCCCCGTCGGCCCCGCGTTCGCCCCTTACGGCCCCGCCGCGCCGCCCCTTAAGGCCCCGCGATCGACCCGCCGCTCGCCCCTTAGCGACCTAGTCGGCCCCGCGATCGCCCCTTTAAGCCCGTGCAACCTGCGCACCGCCCGCGCACTGCCCGCGCACCGCTCGCGCCCCACTTCGCGGCCCCGCGGCCCCGTCGCCTACGGGCTCGCGCACGCCTTGCTGCCCGCAGCCGCTCGTACGCCGCTGCTTCCGCTGCTGCTTGCGCACCGCTGCCTCCCGAGCGCCGCCGCTGCTCGTGCGCCGCCGCTGCCCCTACGCTCCCGCTGCCAGTGCGCCGCCGCTGCCCGTGCGCCGCTGCCGCCTGTGCGCTTCTGCAGCCGCCGCCCGCGAGGCACTCGCTCTCACAGTTTTTATTTTCTACCTACCGCGCACACTGCTGCCACTGCAGCTGCCACCAGTGCGCCGTTGCAGCTCCTGCTGCCACGCTACCTACTATTGCCGCTCGTGTGCCACTACGGACAGTCGACCCCGCCCGCGCCTTACCTAGCGGCCCCGCCGGCCCCGTTGACCCTCCGCACACCTTTCCAGCGGCCTGATTCCTACTACTACTGTTACTACTGCTACTACTGCTACTGCTACTGTCACTATGGCTAGTCCTCCAGTTCTAGCTTTCGATGCCGAGGGCCGTCCAGTGAAGTTCGAAACCTGGCTAGATGACCTGCACCTGTTCCTACAGCTCACTGCCAAGGAAGATATCTCACTGTACGACCACGCCCTAGGCCATGCCACTGCCCCTGACTCGTCTGCTGACAGCACTCTGCGTTCCCAGTGGCAGACCCGTGATGCGCACGCTCGCTTTGCTATTCGCAACTCCCTGCCGCTAGACGAGCGCGAGCACTTCGGCCAGTGCAAGACTGCTAAGGACCTCTACACAGCTGTAGTTGCCCGCTACTCCTCACCCGCTTCTGCCACGCTAGGCCGCCTCACTCTCCCCTACCTGTTCCCCGACCTAGCCTCCTTTCACACTGTCGCAGACCTCATCACCCACCTTAAGACTAGTGAGGCCCGCTTTCGCGCTGCTATGCCTGCCGAGTTTCTCACTAGCAACCCCCCCCGCTCTGGATCACTCTCTACCACATCGTCACTCGCCTCCCTGACTCTCTACGCGCAGTCAGGGACCATTTCCTCTCTCGCTCCCCCACTGAGCTCACTGTTGCCCTCCTCGAGAAGGAACTGCTTGCAGCTGAGGCGAGTATCGTCGCTGTAGGCACCTCTCGTGGCGACCCCCGCACCCCGTTCTTTGAGGGGTGTTCCCCTTCCCCCCTCCTCCCCTCTGTCGCCTCTGCTGCTGCTGTCGACCTCCTTGGTGCTGAGAAGGTCGGGACCGCGTCTGCTTCGAGCGGGCGCCGCAGGAACAAGGGAGGCAGGGGTGGGGGTGGCGGCGGAGGAGGTGGGGGTGGAGGCGGTGGGAGTGGAGGCGCGGCTGAGGAGGCCAGTGGCGGCAGTGGGGGAGGAGACAGCAGCGGCGGGAGTGGTGGCAGGGGCGGAGGCGGCAGCGGGGGCGGAGGTGGTCGTGGTGGCGGCAGGGGTGGAGGTGGCCGGGGCGGAGGCGGTGGGGGTGGTGGTCGTGGAGGCACTGGCGGAGGGCAGAGTCAGCAGCCCGCCCCAACGCTTCAGGCCGCCCGTGAGTGGTATGCGCAGCGTGGCTTTACCTGCACGTACGTCATTCGCACAGGTGACCGCAGCGGCCAGCAGTGTGGGAGGCCGCACCCCACGCAGCGCTGCTTCGCGCGCCTTACCGACGCGTGGCGCACCCAGTTTCCTGCTGCCACTGAGCTGCCGCGCTGGGCTGACCTGGAAAAGAGGGGTGTTGATATTTGGGCTCTAGACTTTGATGCTATTCTCACTGCCATGTATGCGATGTCTATTAGTGGAGAGGGTGCTCAGTACTTGCGTGTTCCGCCCGACCCGGGCATTCAGGCCAGTCCGGCCGCCGCTCTAGGTGCTCGTGCGTCCGCTCCCACAGGTCCTGGTGAGGCTGCTGCCCTAGGTGCTAGTGCGTCTGTGCCCCCTGGTACTGAGTCGACTGCAGCACTGCACACCTTCACACTGGACTCAGGTGCTTCTCGCTCTTTCTTTCGTGACCGTACTGTCCTTGAGCCACTCGCTCGGCCAGTTGCTGTCTCCCTTGCTGACCCCTCTGGGGGTCCGGTCATTGCGACCTCCTCCACTGTCCTGCGGTCCCGTCCGGCACGCTGTCAGGTCTCTACCTCCCCTCGTTCTCTACGAACTTGGTGGTGGGTTGTGCGCTCCAGGACTCGGGTGTTCACCAGTTCACCCCTGCCTACGAACGCGTGACACACTGCACGTGTGCTCGGACGGGTCGCCACCTGGCTACTTTCACTCGAGAGCCGGGGTCCGACCTGTACACACTGACCACTGAGTCCCCTCAGGTAGCTGCGTCTGCGTCTACGTCTGCGTCTGCGTCAGGTCAGCTGTCCGCCCCCTGCTCGTGTCGCTCTCTGGCGCATGAGACTGTCCTTTGGCACCACCGCCTTGGTCACCCGTCTGTGCAGCGCCTTCGGGCCATGCACAAACGGGACCTTGTTGCTGGTCTTCCCAGGGTGCTCCCTCCCCTTCCCGACTCGCCTGCTCCTCCCTGTCTTCCCTGTGTTGAGGGGCGGCAGCGCGCCGCTCCTCACTCCTCCTCCTTTCCCCCGACGACTGCTCCTTTGCAGACGCTCCACATGGACGTGTGGGGCCCAGCCCGCGTCCGTGGTCAGGGTCAGGAGAGGTACTTCCTGATTGTTGTTGACGACTTCTCGCGCTACACCACGGTCTTCCCCTTGCGCACCAAGGGTGACGTCCCTGATGTCTTGATCCCTTGGATCCGCAGATCTCGTCTCCAGCTCAGTGAGCGTTTCCGCTCCGACTTCCCTGTCCTGCGTCTGCACTCTGACAGAGGTGGAGAGTTTTCCTCTGGCCTCTTGGAGGCCTTCTGTCAGCAGGAGGGCATTGAGCAGTCGTTCACGCTTCCGGCCTCTCCACAGCAGAATGGGGTTGCTGAGCGCCGCATTGGCTTGGTCATGGAGGTCGCTCGTACCTCCTTGGTTCATGCGGCTGCCCCCCACTTTCTGTGGCCGTTTGCAGTCCGATACGCTGCGCATCAGCTCAACCTCTGGCCCCGTGTCTCCTTGCCCGAGACTTCTCCGACACTGCGTTGGACGGGAGAGGCCGGCGATGCGTCGCGTTTTCGGGTCTGGGGATCTCGAGCTTTTGTCCGCGACACGTCCGCGGACAAGCTCTCCCGTCGCGCTGTCCCCTGCGTCTTCCTTGGCTTTGTCCCGGACGCCCCTGGTTGGCAGTTCTACCACCCCACCTCGCGGCGTGTCCTGGCCTCTCAGGACGTCACTTTTGACGAGTCCGTCCCCTACTACCGCCTCTTCCCCTACCGCACTGCCCCGCTCCCCCCCCCGCCTCTCTTCCTCGCTCCAGGTGCAGAGGTACCAGACCCCCTCCCCCCTCAGGGTGCCGCTCCCTCAGGTGTGTCCCAGGTAGACCCGGGTGAGCCTGTCGAGGTAGCTGTTGACTCTCGTCCTGCGTCTAGGGGTGCTGAGCCTGGGGGTGCTGAGTCTGGGGGTGCTGAGCCTGGGGGTGTTGAGCCTGGAGGTGCGGAGCCTGGAGGTGTGGAGCCTGGGGGTGCGGAGTCTGGGGGTGCTGAGTCTGGGGGTACTGAG